TTAATTGCCTGGCCTTCTTTCCATTGAGCTTTTTTTTTTTTTTTTTTTAAGAAGTTTTTGCTATGGGGTGTGTGCACTCACCATACAGACAGAGACAGAGAGACAGAAAGCGAGAAATCACCCCCCAGGGAGAATGGCCACGCCGCAATCCCTTCTTCTCCATTCTCCTCTCAGGATCTTGGGCACGCACGCACACGTGCCCAGCGTGAGTTTTAGGCCACCGGGTCCAGGATGCAAACCGTGGTCGACTACGTGGGAGTCCAGCGACATAGCCATTACTCTAACTGCTGGTCCCTTACCATTGAGCTTTTAAAAATACTGGTTTATCCCTGGGTGTCATAAGTGTCCAGTTGTTAGCATGTGACATCTGGCTATAAAACCTGAAATAAACCTTGTGTTTCTGATACACTTTATTTATTTTATATACATTTGTAGTGTTGGTTGTGGGTGGTTGTGGAATCAAATGGTTATTATTAAAATTTTCATGAAAGTTCTTAATTGAGCTGATAAATCAGTAGTGACCTGATAGCTAAAAGGATGAGGCAGAAGGCACTTATTTATAGTCAGTCAGCATGAAACTAGGTGTCCTTTTCTAAAAGTTGACTCCTAAGCACCAAGGTGAACTTGAAAGAGCTGAAGCCATTCATGATCTGAGTATAATTTCTAGAAATAAAAAGATACATTCTCAACTGTTAGATTCATGTAGACATTTTAGAACCAGAAATTAGTGACAAAATTTTTACTTAGAATTGAAGTATGTACTTCACATATGTGACTTATTTAATTATGTTCATCTGTATTTGAATTGTAATTCCATTGTTTTGAGTCTATATACAGTGACTACTTTGTGGGGAAAAAAATCGTATTCTTTAATTTTTGAGGCTCTGATGGGTTTATGAACCAAGTTTCCCCAACAGACAATTTTATCTTCTCCATAATATAGTCCACATTTAATTGAGTTGTGACAGTATGTTGAGTTTTCTGTTTATTCCGACAAAACTTGAAATAAAAGCATTAATTGTCAAGATTGTAAGCCTGAAATATCTCTGTATTTCTAAAGATCCTCTGAATCCTGGAAAAAAAATTAAAGTGTTGAAAGTCCGTTTCCCTGTTTTCTTTGAATAGTCTTAAGTGAATCTCTTGGATTTTTTTTCCCTAAAAATCTCTAGGCTAGCTAAGTGGAATTTTAAATCCATAGTAGACTGTACTAAAAGCACTTTTGTCAGTACAGCTTTGTTTCACCTGCAAACTTCTGGCTTATTATTAGAACAAGGCAAATAGGTTTTGAAATTTTAGAACTGTCTAGCCCTTTTTTGGATATCTCATATCATTTTTTACTTATGACAAGTCAGAGGAAACAAATTCATCACAGAATAGATCCCAAGTAGTCAAAGTCTTGTTGACAGCTTTAAACTTGAAAAGGCATACATTAGCTGTATTAGTTTAATATATATAATTTTGAAGAATGTCATAGTTATTTGTAACTTAGCTAGTGTTCATTTCTTTTCCTAACTCATACATGAATTCAGACAAATGACTATAGTATTAACTCAGTTCCTGTTGTAAAAAATATATATATTGCGAATGCTAGCATCTAATTTAAATGGTAAAATTTGTGGAGTATATTCAATTTGTTTATTCTTTTTTTCAAGACTATAATAAATATATCTTTGGTCTTTTGGCCATACAGAATTACAGTAATAAATTTATAAGTCTCTTTTTCTCTGTAACCTGGATATATATCACTTTAGAGTATATCCTTACTTATTTATTTATTTTTTTGCCTTGAAATCCGTTTCTTTATTTCATGTGATAGACACAGACATAGACACAGGTACCCTTGTTGACAGGGTCTTGCCATGACAGATCTTCTGCCTAGCCTCATAGCCAGCAAGGATCATAGACATGTAGGCATGCCTGACATGTTCAGGTTGACACAGGATCTGAACCTGGCTCTTAACGTGTCTCCAGTATTTGCATAGCAGCATCCCTACAACCTGTGCTTCCATGACTGGGCTTAGAGCATATTCTTTTTAAACCATTGTATTAAAATGCATTAAAATAAAAGTTAGTTGCTTTACAAATAAAAGAGAAAAGAGAAGACTTTCTCACAACTTTAGAAAAAATTTTAAGGATGATAATTAGATAACTCTAATTTTTCTAGGCCATTGCAATGCCAGTTTATCCTAATTAACTTAAATGGTATACTGGAAGAATTACTACTTCAGTTTCTTATGCCTACTAATAACACAACTTTTAATCAGCTTTTTGAAATTTGTTAGATTAATAAATTTTTCTCTCAGACTATTCTAGCTGCTGGCCACATCATCTTGGGAAAAATCCGACAACATTGTATTGACAGCTAAGCCTTCCATTCTATTCATCTTAGCTGTTTATAGATTTATTACATATTTTACTTCTTTATTTTTGCATCTTCTCTTTGCTCATATCCACATACCTGGTTCAATAAATCCCAGATATTTATTAATATATAGGTTTTTCCCAAGAAGTAGATGCGTAGACAGGTATTAGTCAGACTTCTGCATGCTACTAGCATGCACAGGGCACCTGCATTAACTCTCAGAGAAGTCCTAAAGAAGACAGACCTCTGTGGCTCTTACTTGTGGAATCCAATTTGGTCTGAATTCCCTAGCATTTAATGAGTAATGTTGGTTGTATCGCCTGTGACTTTTCCAAACAGCTAACCCTGAGAGCCAACTTTGTGATGGATTAGACCTGTTTGAGAGGTCCTTGGACATTTTTGTATCTTTGCAGGATCTCTTTTAACCCCTACAGGATCTTCTGTTTGTTCATTTTTAGTTTGAATTAATGTTATTCCATGTTCAGCTATTATGTGACTGGAATAAAATGATTAGGTACCTTTTTCATTAATTTTATGTAATGAGACTTGTCTTAAACACCTCCTTAGAAAATTGTACAAATTACTGCTAGAATTAAGAAATAATTTGAAGGAACCTTACTTGATATACTTAATAATAATTAAGAATAAAGTTATATGTCCTCACTGCGGTAGCACCATGCTAAATGCTGCTGCTTGACAGGTTGAAGTCACATGGGAGTTTCCAGGTTTTGATTCCTGGCCCACCCTAAAAAGCCAGGCCAAGTGGTCTGTATCTTTAGTTTCAGATACTTGGGAGGCTGAGATAGGGAAATAAAGGCATAACCAGACCCTTAAAGGAAAAAATTAATTTTATCTATTATTATTTTTAAATTTGCCACAGGGAACATGTACTCACCAGAGATAGTGAGAAAGCAAGCTGCCAGCCAGGTGGGAGACTAACCGTGGTTGGGCAGGTGGGAGTCCAATGCTTTAACCACCTCGCCACTTGCTGGCCCCTAGAGCCTATTTTAACATACACAGGATAAAATTATAGTGAATGAAAATGAAGATGTAATACTAAGAACTATGTAAAATACTACTGAATAATTTAAATCTTTTTTTTTTTTTTTGGAGAGGTTTTTGCTATAGGGAGTGTGTGCTCGCTAGAAAGATAGAGAGAGAGAGAAAGCAAGAAATCACCCCCCAGGGGGATGACCACACCGCAGTCCCTTCTCCTCCATTCTCCTCTCGGGATCTTGGGCACGCACGCACACGAGCCTGTGCCCGGCATGAGTTTAAGCTACCAGGTCCAGTACTTGAACTGTGGTTGGCTACATGGAAGTTCAGCGACATAGCCCTTACACTAACTGCTGGTCCCATGAATAATTTAAATCTTAATGAAACAAATCATTAAGGTACAAATTTATTAGGAATAAATTTCCAGATGTTATTAATTTTCTGAAAACAATGGAATTAAGAATATATTTTTCCAGAGCATTCAGAAAGAAAATTGCTTATATAATAAAATTTTATAAATTTTTTAATCTGGCAAATACTAGCTCATGTATTGTCCATCTCATGTGTTTATGTGCATGTATATGTATGGTCTGTTTTTGAGTACTTTTATTTGTTTTAAATTCTTGCATATTAATAATTTCAGAGAAGGAAGGTCCAGAAAAGAAGAAAACAAAAAAGGAAACCGGAAATAAGAAATCTACACCAGTTAGCATTCTTTTTGGTTATCCACTCTCCGAACGAAAGCAGATGGCACTTCTTATGCAGATGACAGCAAGAGACAACAGTCCAGGTGATACCTACCATCATTGAGTGAATGCATATTCCTTGTTTTCCTCAGGCACCTCTAGCCTTATTTAAATAATTATTTTTAACTGCTTTTTAATCCTTTCTTGGGTTTAATCATAGTTACTTGTCACATCAGTTTGTAATTTTATGATTGTGTAACAATTTGTCTGTATTATTCACTAGATAAGCTGTGCAAGAACAGAGATCTTTACACCTAGTGTAATATTCAGTAAATATTTGTTAAATGAGTAATTTAGAAATGAGATGATCAATTTGAGAAATACATTACAAAACTATATGATTTTACCTTACTGAAAATACTTTTTTTTTTTTTTTTTTTAGTGTTTCCCATAGGGCATATGTGCTGATGGAAGAGAGACTGAGACAGAGGGAAAGTGAGAAATCATTCCCCAGGGGGATGGCCATGCTGCAACCCCTTGTCCTCTATTCTCCTCCTGGGATTTTGGTCACACACACATGTGCCCAGCATGATTTTCAAGCTGCTAGGTCCAGGACTCAGACTGTGGTCAGCTCTGTGGGAGTCCTGCACCTTAACCCATTGCCACCTGCTGGCTCCAATATTTTTTTTTAATCTCATTTTCTGTAAGGGTGCTTCTAGGTTTTTCAGCTCACTAACACCCAGCTGATAAAGTGGTTATTTTACCGTATTGCTACTTTTAGAAGCAAATGTGTAATCCTTAGTTTTTACAGCTTTAGATCTTTTAAAAGGAAAAATATCATTTTATTTCATATTTTACATTTCTAACTGAGGTGTTACTTCTTGTGTGTGTTTGTTTACTCATGTTCTGTGGACTCCAAAAATAGTTGAAGATGGCTTACCAGCAGGATAAAAATAGTGAGAACAAACCCAAAACCTGATAATTTATTAAAGGTAGTTTAAGAGTAGGCAAAATCCAGACAGCTTGGCAAAGGCAGTTATTATGATTGATCATTGAACTTAGTTATGCATTCTGGAAGCTAAAAATACCAAAATAAAATTCTTGAAAGTTCTTTAGTTCTTACTGACAGAAGAAAGTAAATCACTTTTGGGTCTGCCCTGTAGCACAAAAGTTAAGTACTGTGCATAAGGAACTGGATCCCACCTGACCAACTTTGGTTTGAACCCTGGCCTCAGCAGTTTGAAAAACATGCTGGGTGCATGTGCATGTGTGCCCCAAATCCTGATGGAATAGAGAAATGGAGGAATAAGGATTGTGCAACCACACCCCATTGGCACGTGCACACTCCTCTCTCACTTTGTGAGTGTACCTGCTATCTGGCTATTTAAAAAATTGAAAAACAAAAAGTAAACCACTTTTTTCTAGAGGAAAAAAATTTCTTTTGGCTCTGAATTCTGAGCATTTTTATATAAGCCTCTGGATAACATAACAGACATGCATTGATAAAGACAACTTTTTCAGTGAACTTTTTTTCAACTACTTTTTAAAAGTAACGGCATACTGAAACTCTTATAGTTTCTAAGTATCATCATTTCATTCAAAGAATGTGTGTGTTTAGTATCTCTTAGGGCTTCCTGCTTTTTTAACATAAAGTATGTTGTTTTGATTACTCCCACCTTTTCTACTTCCAGCTTGGGAAAGACAGTGGCCAAAATAGATATTTAACAGTGTTAAAACTTTAAATGTTTCTTTTAAATGCTGGCTTTGAGTCAGGTTTAATAGATGGAATTACTATCATTTTTTTAAACCTGATTTTTTTTTTTTTTTTAAGAGGTTTTTGCTATAAGGGCGCGTGCGCTCGCCAGAAAGACAAACAGAGACAGAAAGTAAGCGAGAAATCACCCCCCGGGGGGATGGCCACGCCACAATCTGTTCTCCTCTCGGGATCTTGGGCACGCACACACACGCGCCCAGCGTGAGTTTTAAGCGAACCAGGACGCGAACCACGGTCGACCACATGGGAGTCCAGCAACATAGCCATTACGCTAACTGCTGGTCCCTAAACCTGATTTTTTTTTTTTTTAAATACCGTGGACCTTTGTTCTTCTATGAATAGATTGTGAAATTAATGCAATAAGACAAAAAGTATAAGTCTTCTCTCATTTCCGGTGATGACCATAAGAAGCAAGTTTTATCTGTACTTCCAAGGATTTTCTAGGGACAAATACACAAATATGTATATGTGTTTTGTTACAAGGTTTTTAAAAAATATAAATAGGATTACAATATTGCTCTGTAGTTCTTTTTCATTTAGGATAGTTCTCAGTCAGCTTTCTTTATTAATATGTGTAAAACTAGGGCTGACCCCATGGCACAACAGTTAAGAGCTGTGCATAGAAAGCTGGATCCCACATGGCCGATCTGTTTGAATCCAGGCCCTGGTGGTTTGAAAAACACACTGGGCACTTGTGCATGTGTGTTCAGAATCCTGATGGGGAGGGAAAAATGGAGGAAAGAGAATTATGGCATCATCATACCCCATTTCAGATGCTTTCCCTCTCTCTTTCTCTCCATTTCTCTCTGGCTAACATACACACCCTCTGGCAGTTAAATATACATATGTAGAACTAGAGTGTAAGTTATCAAACTATTTGCCATCATAGAGATAGATACACTTGGGAGTTGTTTTATCCATTAGATATGTCATTATGTCTTCAAGAAAGTCAACAAAGGGACCAGCAGGTGGCGTAGTGATTAAAGTGCTGGACTCCAATGTGATTGACTGCAGTTCAAGTCGTGGACCCAGTGGCTTGAAACTCACTCCAGGAACATGTGCGTGCATGCCCAAAATCCCAAGAGGAGAGTAAAGGAGAAGGGATTGCAGTGTGCTGTCCCCACCCCACTCCACCCCCGGGGGTGTGTGTGATTTCTGTCTCTCTGTCTCTCTCTCTCTGGCTAGTGCAGGTGCCTAAGGCAAAAATCTTTGTCTCAAAAAAAAAAAAAAATTCAACAAGCTAATTTTAAAAATAAATTAACTATTGAGAATGTGATAAAATACATTGTATCTTCATCAACAAATGAATTTCTAGAGTACCATTAAATACAAAGATATCTTTTGACCAGTCAAGATACAGTGATAAATAAGATAGACAAGGTTCTTGTTCTCATGTAGTGTACATCCTAGAAATATTTATGTAGGAAACTTACTGAGATAATATACACTTTATTTAAAAAGTGGGCCAGCAGGTTGATTAGAGGTTAAGGAACTGTATCCCACATGACTGACTATAGTTCATATCCCAGACCTGGTAGCTTGAAAGTCCTGCTGGGCGTATCAATGTCCAAGATCCCGAGAAGAGAATGGAGAAGAAGAGTTATGGCGCGGCCATCACCCAAGAGGGTGATTTCTCATTTTCTCCCCCTTTCTCTGGCAAGCACACGCACCCTATAGCAAAAAATCTAAATAATAATAATATTAATAAATCTTAAAAGGTAAACAGTAAACTTTTTTTTGAGGATAGAATGATATTGGTTATAGTGCTCTAATTGTCAGATTGCAAGACTAATGATCGAAAATTATTTTCCATAGCTTTTTTTCCCTGTTATTTTAAGTTTATTTGCAGAATTAATACTTTATAGATAGCTTGAATCCTTAATAATGAAATGAAATTTTTGTTTGTTTATAGTAGTTCTGAAGTAGGGAGACTTTGAGCATCATCTAATTTAAATTTTTTTGTTGTTGTTTTTGATACAGAAACCAAAACAAAAACAAAAAGTTAAGAAAAGCGAAGCATAATTTTTATAGTCCTTTTTCCAGACTGCCCTTATTTTTTGTAAATCTTCAACTTTATTTTCATACTAAATCATCATTGATACTAAATCATCAGTGACCTTAATTTGCACTTGATCAGAATACAACTCCAGTGGTTTGAGTCAGAGTTGTGAACTCTAGCTTTCAAATACATATTTAGCAGTTCACCAAGTTATTCATTAAACAAATACTCTTAGGGTGCATACTTGATACTTTATATTTAAAATCAATTTTATGAATTGAAAAATTTCTACATAGGCTCATGATATTTGATAATCCTAAAGGAAGACCTATTTATGTATTTGGGTCAGTTATTATTCAAGTAAAGTTTTGGGTTTTTGAATAGAAAGGTATTTCCTATGCCCCAGGAAAGTAGCAGGTTACTAGTAAAAATATATAAATAAGTATACAAAGAATTTATCCTAGAACATTTGTTAACTTTCTTCTTTCATACAGATTCCACACCAAATCATCCATCACAAACAACACCAGCCCAAAAGAAAACTCCCAGTTCTTCATCTCGACAAAAGGATAAAGTTAATAAAAGAAATGAACGTGGTGAAACTCCTTTACACATGGCAGCTATTCGAGGAGATGTGAAACAAGTCAAAGAATTAATCAGTTTAGGGGCAAATGTAAACGTGAAAGATTTTGCAGGTAAGACTGGTAATTCAAGACTTAATATTATTCAGGAATTAAAATTTAAATAGATCCTGGTTATAATTTAATACACAGGACCCAGCAGGTAGCATAGTGGTTAAGACACTGGACTTCCACATGACCAATCGTGGTTTGATTCCCGGCGCTGATGGCTTACTTTCTCACTTTCTCTCCCTCTCTTTCTCTCTCTGTCTCTCTGTGGTGAATATACATGTCCTATAGCTTATTAAAATAATAATAAATATTTTTTAAAAATGTAATGCACATTCTTTTATACCTTTTGCTGAATGAAAGAGTTCTCAAAGTATTCTTTATTGTAAAATTTTTGGAGTATATACCTGAAACCCTTATTTCTGCTGTAAGTCTATTTCAGTAATTTTTACATTTTAAACTTACATTTTAGTTGGCATATGATACTATATAATTTTTTTATTCAATTTAGGTTTTATTCTAGGTTAATTTGAATTATATGTTTCAAAGCCACTAATTCATAGTTCTCTCAAGAACATTTATTGGGTTGTCGGAAAAGTCATGATATATTTTTTCTATGTTTTTTAATGCAAAAATGTGTCATGACTTTTACGACAACCAATATTAATTTGAACGTGAGGAATATGTGAGAGTATTACTATTTTCATTATAATTGCTCAAATAAGTATTAGTAAAAATATGCAGAAAACAATGTAGAAATTCCCCTTAATTGCACATAATATACTGCCCTACTCTTTCATCCCGTTTTTTCCTTCTCCACAAAACTGTTGTTAACAGTTTGAAATTTAATCTTTTCTGTATATTTCATACTGTATGTATAAAATGAATGTTTGCTTACATATAGACTTTTTGTTCTTAAGAGAGAGTTTTTGCTATAGGGCACATGCACTCATCAGAGAGACAGAGAAATGGAAAGTGAGAAATCATTCCCCAGGGGGATGGCCATGCTGCAGTCCCTTCTCCTCTATTCTCCTCTTGGGATCTTGGGCACACACATACATGCACCTGGCGTGAATTTTAAGCCACCAGGTCCAGGACTCGAACCACAGTCAACTACGTGGGAGTCCAGCAAAGTAATCATTACACTATCTGCTGATCCCTATATATAGGCTATTTAAAAAATTTTTTTTCTATGTATTTCAATCTGTAATATTGCAACCAGCTTTAATGTCTTAGAGATATTTCTGTCAGTACATAAGTAGGTCTACTTCATTCCTTTTTTTTTCCACATTATTTATTACTTTTTTTTTGGTATATACTTTCAATCATATTGTTTGGCTTACAATGAGACCATTTCGATATGTGAACATTTCTCCCCAGACCCGTTGATCAAAATATCTTCAAGAAATACCACCACACCTCCCCATCCCGTCAATGCTATACCTCTGTATCCCTTCTCCAAATGTCCTTTGTTAGGCCCCACTCCTCCACATACACCTCATCTGACATTCACACCCATGTCTCGTGTTTGTTCAACCGTTAGTCAATCAGTTTCAGTCATAGAATGCAGCCATATAGTATATGTTAAGCGGGGACATACAATATCTCTCCTTCATAGCCTGGCTTGCCTCACTCAGCAGTACATCTTCCATATTCTTCCACTTTCTGTCAAAAGCCAGGGTTCTGTTGGTTTTTATGGCTGAGTAGTATTTCATAGAGTATATGTGCCACAGTTTTTCAATCCATTCCTCCATATGCGGGCATTTGGGTTGGTTCCATGACTTAGCAATTGTGAATAGTGCCGCAATAAAAATTGATGTGCAAGCACTTTTCCAATGAAGAATTCTTCTGTCCTTTGGGTAGATACCGAGGAGTGGGATCCCTGGATCATATGGCAGATCTGTCTGTAGATTTTTGAGGAGTCTCCAAATTATTCTCCACAGTAGTTGGACAAATCTACATTCCCACAAGCAGTGTAAAAGAGTTCACCTTTCACCACAGCCCCGCCAACACTTATCATTTTTTGTTTTTTTAATATTAGACATT